TCCCACCAATAACGTAGCTCCATTTTCTGCCTTTAAAAGCACACACAACCCACAATTCCTCTATTCGCTCCGACGAAGGGCTAACACTCGAAACGTCAGCTTTTGTAATCATTACGGTGGCCAATTTACCATTTCAACTTTGTTGATAAATCCAAATTATTTCGTTACTCCCACCGACGCAGCCCCAAACAGTTTCTTTCGAAACTATCAGCCTTTATTCAACTTCTCTGTGGTTGGTTTAAATAGATTTCCAGCAAGGTCTTCTTGTAAACCAATGTACATGGCCTGTTTGAAAGAAGTCATTAGATATATTGAAGCAAAATAATGCTTAAACCCCTGATTCCATGACTGGGCAAAAATGCATCGGAGCTTTTAATCATTAATGGTTGGCAAATAAACTCGGCAGAATTTGCTCGCTTCAAGGTTGTATGCTTCTGATATGGAAATATGTATCCCTACATGTGACCTTTGGAAGTTAGTCCTTGAAAATTTTTCTTTCTATGTTCTATTCTTTTTCTTTCTATCTAAAATTTTTCTTTTCATGTATTATTAAATTTTGGAAAAGTTGCATCAAGCAGGGGTTTCATTAATTTTTTCAGTAGGAGGGCAACTGGTTTTCACAGGTGGGCAAAACTTTTTAAACTAAACTTCTTTATAAGATAAACCTTCGTCCAGATTGTTAAACCAGGTGTGCAAAACCCTCCTTACAACCAGTCAATTTGGCGTGTGCCCAGCCCTTAATGAAACCCCTGATCAAGAGCCTTGTTCTGGGGCCACCTTCTTCTTTGGATGAGTATAAACAATGTTTGTGAACAGCTACATTTAGTCATTAGTCCAGGAGCAAATGTAAGTAATTCAAGTCCCATGGGAATTTCTTGCTGAAAGTAAGCCACAACACTAGATATGTTAGGGGGACTCTAAATAACTGGAAAAATCTTGTTGCCACTTTTGCAACCTGTTCCAACGCTCTTCCAGGGAAATGTGGACCTTACATGGAAATAAGGCTACTACATAAAACATCTTATAACTTCATTTATTATGGGCCAAATAGCACCAAAACGGCACCAAAGATATAAATCTATGTCCTTGTTGATATCATGAACACATGTGTTGTAACTGTGAGTTACAAGATTAGTCACGTGACTAAAGGAGTATGGAAGTGAAGCTGGTTTAATAAAAGTTTTTGGGGCCCTCCTACAGTTCCTAAAATGCTTTATAATGGGTCACAAACAGCATAAATATTTCTTTCAGCTTAAACTGTTCCTTTTCAATGGAATGTAAGTAAGTTTATTTATTCACGTTGAACACAAAAGAGCTTATGACAAAGCTCGTAAGAATGTGCACATGCTAAATACTAGAATATGTTATAACATACAATAAAAAGTATGAAAATTGTAATCTTTTACAATTTGATATATGACCCATCCCTTCCAATCTGAAAATGTGTAGTAAGAAATCCCCAACTACTATAGCTACTATGATGTATTATTAATTGATTAACTATGATGTATTATTAATTAACCATCCTTATCGGTAGCTCTGTTATCAAACATGCCTCTTAAAAAAGCAATTCTAAGTCGAACTTCTTCAAAGCTTTTTTAAAAGCCTTGATGTTTTCACTTTTCCTAACTTCCATAGGTAACTTATTCCATAGCTTACTGGCATTGAAGGAGAAAGATTTATGCAGCCACTCAGAATTAAAATGAGGTTGAGCCAAATTACTGCATTGACCCCTGAGATTATAGCCAACATGTCTTAAATTTAAAACTAGGACGAATAGAATTAAGGCATTTATATATCAAGATGAATGTCTGATAATACCTACTTGATTTAACTAATTCGAAAACACTTTCATAACTGTTATTTTTAACTTTAAATAATGTTCTTAAAATGTAATAAATGGCATCTTCAAGTCTATTGGCCCACACTCTGCCAAGACCAATAAATAATATGCTACAATATTCTAAATGTGGGACAATGAGTGCTCTATATAATAATGTCATAGTGTTCACCAGTATGAATCGGGAAATTCTTTTTAAGGCAGCAGTCTTTGCATAAACTTTTTTAAGCTGTTCAGTGGTACGCCTTTTATCCAAGGTGATGCCCAGAAGACCATCAAGTTTGGCCAGCTAACTGGAAGATGAGCAGTTGTAGCATGGAGGTTAGAATGCATTGTAACAAGTGAAGATTTTTCTAATATCCAAAGCTACTGAGAGGAGACAGACACAAAGATTATTGTACATGCTGTTGATGCTACAGCCAGAGGTGCCACTGAGCTTCAGATACATTCTCCTGACACAGACATTTTCATCTTGGCTCTCAGAGGTTATTTAAGTCTTTGTAAGAACACTGGCTTTGTCACTGGTACAGGCAGGAACCTCCATTAAGGAGCTATTCTTCAGCCAATTTTTTGTGCCTTAGGCTCCAAAATAGCAGCTGCTCTCTCTGTGCTTTAATTGGGGCAGACAACACTGGTTGTTTATCGGTAAACAGGAAAGCCTTATTCTTGAAAGCTTTCATAGAAGCTGAGAAAGCAACCATCAATTGTCTTTCAGAGCTTGGTGGTGCAGGTGTGATTCCTGGAGTTGAGATTATGGCTTCAATTGAGAAGTTTGTNGCTCTATATAATAATGTCATAGTGTTCACCAGTATGAATCGGGAAATTCTTTTTAAGGCAGCAGTCTTTGCAGAAACTTTTTTAAGCTGTTCAGTGGTATGCCTTTTATCCAAGGTGATGCCCAGAAGACCATCAAGTTTGGCCAGCTAACTGGAAGATGAGCAGTTGTAGCATGGAGGTTAGAATGCATTGTAACAAGTGAAGATTTTTCTAATATCCAAAGCTACTGAGAGGAGACAGACACAAAGATTATTGTACATGCTGTTGATGCTACAGCCAGAGGTGCCACTGAGCTTCAGATACATTCTCCTGACACAGACATTTTCATCTTGGCTCTCAGAGGTTATTTAAGTCTTTGTAAGAACACTGGCTTTGTCACTGGTACAGGCAGGAACCTCCATTAAGGAGATATTCTTCAGCCAATTTTTTGTGCCTTATGCTCCAAAATAGCAGCTGCTCTCTCTTTGCTTTAATTGGGGCAGACAACACTGGTTGTTTATCGGTAAACAGGAAAGCCTTATTCTTGAAAGCTTTCATAGAAGCTGAGAAAGCAACCGTCAATTGTCTTTCAGAGCTTGGTGGTGCAGGTGTGATTCCTGGAGTTGAGATTATGGCTTCAATTGAGAAGTGTGTGTGTCAGCTTTGTCTCCCCAAAACCAAGATGTGTTCTGATGGTGGCTATTTAGGAAGAGACAAGCTCAGTTGGAGAGGCTACCCCCAACCCAAGCTGCTCTTCAACAAGCAATCTTAAGAGCCTATAATCATCTTTTGGTGTGGAATAACAATATGGTAGCAAATCCCACCCTGCCATCACCAGAAAAAATTTGGTTGGATGCTGGATGGAAACCTGTTGGTTTCAGTCAGGACCAATCTCCCCCCAGCACATCAAGCCATTATTCATATTGTAAAATACAAGTATGCTAAGGAGAGATGTTGCACAAACTGTTGCCAGTGTAGAAAGAATGGGCTGAACTGCATAGATCTTTGTGGGTGTTCAGTTAGTGGAGAACGTTGTGAGAATGTGTGAAATGATTAAGACAATGATTCCAGTGATGATAACAAGAGTGATGAGGAAGAAGAGGGTGATGAATTTGATTCTGACATTTTGAATGATTAAGTTCTGATAAAGGACACTGCCAGTCCTAAGTTGCTTAAAGATTTGCTTAAGGTTTCATCTTGAAAGCCAGCAGCCCTCTCGAGTGAAACAACTACGTCTGAGAAACATTGCATTTAAGTAATAATAATTTTTTTGCATAATTAAAATCTCGAGAAATACCAAATATCACAGCCTTGCTCTTATGGTTTTTGAAATTCACAAGACCAGTGCATTTATTGAAAAGAAAGAGTTTGAGCTTAAAGAGATATTTATGCTGTTTGTGAAGTATTATAAAGCATTTTAGACATTGTAGGAAGGTCTAAAGAAGTTTTAATTGACCAGCCTTGCACCCATGCTCATTTAGTCATGTGACTAATTTTGTAACTTTAGTTACTAAACTTGTGTTCATGATATCAATAGGAGATAGATTAATATCTTTTGAGCCATTTGGCCCATAATGAACAAAGTTTTAGGATGTTTTATTGTGGTAGCCTCATTTCCATGCAAGGTCTACAAGAGCATTTCTAAAACACCCTGTAAAAAGCATTGATTGCAATAGTGGTACCATAGTTTTTCAGTTTGAGTCCCTTAACATATTTAGTGCAGTGGCATGCTTTCAGCAAGAAATTCCCACAGGAGTACAAATGCAGCCAGACAAAATGTTCCATTATTTGATTTAACTTCAGAGAAACCGTCCACGAAGATCCCGTTCACTCTCACCACGGCGCCGAACTAGGTAGCTGTTTCAATTTTTCTTTGAATTAAGTAAATTACAGATAACATTTTATTTTAAGAATTTTGAGGAACAAGTACTTTCATAGAGCTAAACTTTTCCTGCTAACATGCTCAACTATTTTTGTTTATAACAGTGTTATCAAAATGATTAATCAAACTGTGTTTGTTCTGGTAAAACTGATTTAGTCCATTACTCCCCCACTCTAACTTCTGAACTATAAGGCTATACTGAGCAAGGTGTTTGTTTCTCAACAGTAGGTCCAGGTCACGTTCGCCAAGGAGGTCACACTCGCCTGCCACCAGAGGACGACACTCGCGCTCTCCATTGGCACAACGTGGTCGCTCACTGTCGCCACGCCCTAGTGGAAGTCCTGGAAGACGATTATACTCAAGTTAACCAGAGCTTAGCTTGCTTTATCTCATGAATACTGTGGTTGTTAGCTCTAGCTTCAAGTTCAGTTATTGTTTGGCCAAAATTGGCCTTTGATGCCATTTTATCTTTTTAGATTGTTGTTTTGAGTTTTTGTTGTGATAAACATTAGAGACAATTCACTTAAACTTTGCAGTCAATCACTTTGTGTATTGTTGTCAAATAAATGAGATATGATCATTTTTGTAGTGTCTTTTTAATTTTTACCCAGACATTCCCATATGGGGCCTGGGTTGAAATTCTAGGTTCATTTTTTTCTCTTTTTTTCGTTCATTTGCAAATTGCCATCATATCCCTTAGACACATGGGCAAAGTTATCTATGCAAGTAGCCACAAGTACAACAGCAGGTACATATTTAATACCATTGGTAATGGCAGAGACCTAGAAAGTAAAGGTT